TATTATCAGAAAAATGTAGTTGCAAAGTCACGACAAAACAAAAATGTGTTTTTTTAAGTGAGGACAGCTGCAGTGTGTAAAAGAGCTAATTCCTAGCAGAAAAAGTGACTTGCATCTGGCTCATCATTAGTGTGAGAATGGATCTTCAGTGTGTGAATAAGACTGAGGGCCTATGGAGAGCACCATTGTAGACGCACACTGCACCACTTCTCGTGATAAATGAGCAATTGTCTCCATCACCATTAAAGACAGTAAATGACGCAGTGGGGAGCTCTTCATCCACTGTACAATGTGAAGAGGACACTGAACAAAAAACCATGGCAGTTTCATGTGACATCACGTCCCAAATTACTGACCGCTGGACACAAGCAGCACAAATACAGTGGCCCATTATGAGTCCTGTGCAAGAAAAAGTGGATGCTACAGCATGATTGTATGTGCATTTAAAAAAAGCTAGTAGACTCAACTTGAAGCTGTATCGATTGCAGCAACAAGCTGAAAGCACAACATTGGCATAAATTAACCGTATAAAGATGATAAGGCGATCATGTTACACATCCAGCAGACACAGAGCAACATTTATTTGGATTTGTGTTTGTGCATCTAGTTATTAACTTCTTGTCTTTCGTGCAGACTGCTTTTTTGTGAAGCTATAAGGGGAACTACAGAGTTGGTGATGATTCGCTGTGGGTTACTTTTATGTTTACACAGGCTTTAGTAATTTGTTTGTTTATATGACAGTATTGATAACAGTTGCCTAAATTGTCCACTAAAGTAAGAATGGATTTTAGCATTTCAAGTTAACATCCTGAACATAAATAATAGCCCAGCATGACAGAACACACAATAAAAACACAAATTCCAAACAGCCTATGAAATGATTCCAGACGTTAAACAAACTAAACTAAACACTTAAAGGTGGGGTAGGTAATTTTGGAGAAACCAGCTCGAGATCCCTAGAATTTGAAAATACACAGCCGGAAAAAATCTGCCACTTCCTTACAGAGCCCCTCCTCCAACACACACGAACGCGCACATGACCAATGAGGGCACGAGATAAGTTTGTGCACAGATGGAAGGCTGACAGGCAGGTAGGCCATCCAGTTATTTTAGCCGGGCCGGCTAAAATGATTGGTCGTGCTTTTTACAGTACTAGGGCTTCCACAGATGACATATTTTTATGGATTTTTTGTCAAAGCACTTAAGATATTCATTGCTATCGGGATGTTAAGAGCATTCCATGGAATATAACAAAAAGTGTATCTCGAGCCGGTTTCTCAAACTTACCTACCCCACCTTTAACTATCACAAAAACATGTATATTATATACAATATACAATTTCTACATTAAGGTTTATTTACATAACCTGATATAATATATTGAATTATTTTGTCAACCTATTTATATAAAAGGTAGCTAACTGATGGCTTATACATAAAACCTGTAACAGTAAAGAATTTGATTCCCTTTGTATTTTCGATACTAAAACTGCACGTTCAGTTTATCAATCAAATACAAGATTCCAGCTAATTCCATAAACTACAATATGTCATTTATTTGACAAAACATTTTGGGTTGATCAGATGTTTATTACTGATAGAATAAGTTTACTCTGGATTTGTGTCTGTTTCTCTGTGTGCTGGACTGGGGGTTTTCTCTCAGCATTATCAAACCTACACTGCCCTCGTGTGGCACCTGTGGATCTCCTCAGTTTCAGGTGGGATAGTAGGAGTATGCGTGTCCTCTCTTCTCCCAAGAGTTTTTTTGGTATGGCTTTAATAGTAGTATGGCTGCAATTTGATTTTCTTTAAGTTTCAGATTTGTGCTAGTTGTAGCCTGGCCTTTATTTTCTAATAAAGGGAACATGTTCTTTCAAAATGTGTTAGATTAGCACCTGTCTTACCACGATTAAGTCCTATGCCAAACTGAGAAAATGCTTACAATCAGTTTACATGCGACACAAAATGCAATCAAATAAGGAAAATGTTAAACTCCTTACCTTTAAAAATGGACTGCAGGCTTGTTATACTTCAAGTGTACACATGCAGGTGATGTAGTTCTTCGCGCCACTCATCGCATCAAATGCATGACTCATCCAGTCTACTCCAAAAAAAGGAAATATAAAGATTGTTATCTATGTTATTTTTGTTTGGATCAATTGTTGCCTTTCTATGAAACTATTCAAACCTCCATCAGCGTTTACTTGGCTGACCAGGGGGAGGCTAAAGTCACAGTGACTTTAGATCCAAATGTAACAACTACTGTTTAAAATGTTATTATGCTCTTTCCATTTATTTCCCTCAAATACCTAAAATCTTAAGGCGAAATAACTGCGAAATAAGTATCAATTATTTAAAAAATTCAAGGAAAGAATTAAACAAAGTAATGTACAGGGACTGACATTATAATATATTACCAAATAATAAAAAAAATAAGAAAATAAATGTCATACATGTACATATTCGAATCACAATCAATGTTTACCTCCAAAACAACCTAATTGTTTTTCATTAAACACGCACATAAATAAAGAAGACTTGCAAAAAATCTCACTATGCCAAAGTTTGCTGTTCAACCAAGGAAAACAAGACTAATCTCTGGAAAAAATAGCTTCAAAGCTCTTTCACTTTTTATATAGCACCATCATGTCAGAATAATGATTTATCTAATACCTGGAAACTAATGACACTAACATATGGGCACCTCAAATGATTCTAGCACTTTGGCTAATGGCTATATTATGTTAGCATTTAGCTCAAAGCACTTAAGTACAAGGCTAAATACTAAACTACCTAAAACATAGTAAATTAGGTTATGGCACTTCAATGTCATACCTTAATTTACTCATACATATAAAACAATGGTTTAACTTACAACTACGTTCTTTAAAAGGGTGGCAGACGACGTTTTTCCGATAAATAAAACTCGGTAAAAACAAGTGGTGTAGCTTGAGTAGTCGAAGCTATCATTAGTATGTCGGCCGTGACTGCTGCTCTGGGAGTTTTTACTACACTTTCCTCACCTATCTGTTTCTGTTTCAGCAGGAGTTGCTGTCTTTACTGAAGCGTCTTTGTCTGCCTTTGTAGGTCCTGTTTTATTAATAGCAATTTCACAATATTCATGAAAATATTCGCGCGACCTACTGTATAAGCTTTATTCTAAGCTAGCTGTTAGCTTCTCCAATGGTCTGTATAAGTCCTTTACGCAGATGTGAAAGTTGCAGGATTTTTTTCCCTCCAACTTATTAAATACTGGATAGGGCTTTAACTAATGCCAGAGAAGTTTAGAAGGATAACTGCACTGAGAGTACAGTTCCTGTACCTGTGTAACATTTTAGAGATCACCAGGTTCAGATCATGGTAAAGGTAATTATATCATAGAAATAAAGAAAAATAATAATAATAGTTATTCCTAGAAAAAAATACAGTTTATCTGCATCTAAATGGTGTGTAACTGATCTAATTGAATAGCTTGTAGTAGACAAAGGACATCATTTACCAATGTCCCTGGTGCTAGCAATCACCTCATATGCCTTTTCATTATTGTTATAGACTATTTTCTCACAACTTCTACAAGCCATATGAAAGCTACCAGCAGTGAAGGTGGTGAAATTGTTAACACGAAAACGTATTATTAAGTCTACACAGTATTAGAAGATCTCAGTAACTGATGACGTCCTTTTCTGACATCATTTAATGCCATTATGATTGTAATGGCAATTTAATGTGATGTTAGGTTGTATTGTTTACAACCATAATTTGACCAGTTGCGGTGTGATGCAGAGCTGATCACGAAGGATCCTATAGGAGACAGCCCATTAAACACAATGGCACCAGCAACAACTACTACAGATGTTAACTGTAAGTAGACTATTTGCATTTACTTAAGTATTTACATTTCAGGCTAACGTTAATTCTTGCTAATTGTAGGCCTACTTAATATTTTGTTCGTTATGTTAATGATTAAAATTAACTAACCTTACATCTTTGTTTAGTATCATTACCTGCATCCCCTGTCAAATCTGTTCGGTAAATGTGTCAGATTTCAAATGTATTTTTGTAAACTCAGTCTGCTGCAACCTTTATATATACAGTCTATTGCTGCAACACCAAAGCCATGCAGCCTACATATAATATCTTCCACAGTGACGCGTCCTAAAACCCGGAAGTAAGCTGCGCATAGGTTCCTTCCATGGATGTATAATGAGTATTCGACAAAAAAGCAATGCAATTTCTCCATAGGATTTTGGAAAATAGCTCGAAATAAGGTCTGTGGTTGACACATTTAAGAGACGGATCACGTTTTGTTCAGTCGGATAATCTCCACATGTCTACCCTAATTTTATAATTTTCGAATAATAAATCTAATCGATAGATTTATGATCGATATAGATTTATGATTCGAAAATTACTTACTTACTTCCCTCCCTTTCCGGTGGACCTCCATGGGACCTTATTTCGGAAAAATTATGTATTGAAGTCAATGGCGAGAGAAAAGTTATCTTTCGACCCCGTTTGAATTGTGCCACGAATTACACATGTGATTTTTGTCAATTTAAAAGATAATTTTGCAAGTAAAAAAAAAAAAGTTTTGCCGTAAAACTTTGAAGTAAGACTTTTTTTGTGTGAAACCGCTCAATGAACTACATCTCTGGTCATTCTAGCCATTCTGCATGATTCAATTTTGTTGGTATTACAATTGTGTTTTGATCCTTACTTCTATAGCCTAGTTTAAAAATATCTGTGAATAGCCTAATGTTCAGCAAAGGCTTTAGAAAGTCAGCTGAGACGCTTCAGGTTTGCAGCAAAACGAAAATGTTTCAGCTGACAACCAGCAGGGCAGACCCGGGTCCGTCATATAACAGAACCCAGATGTGCCATTGTAATTCTGTTTCACAACAACCGTCCCGTGACATACCGATGCACAGGGAGGTGTGGTGTCACGTGGGCCGACGTTACAGCGGATTTATAGGCAGGAGCCGAACTCTCAGTCTGTCAGAGTCCAGCATCAGCACACTCACTGTGATCACCTGAAGAGCAAGAGGATGGACGCAGCACACAAGAAAGTGAATGGAAACTACGGGAAAGATGGAGAAACAGAGGAGCCAGGAACAGGGGTAAATGTCATGTTATGATACCTGCTATATAACGTTAAAACTTCTTTGCATCTGGCTTTTTCATTTCCAGAAATCCAGCTAATTATTTGCAGTGGTGTAAAGTAACTACATTTACTCAAGTACTGTACTTAAATTGTGTATTATTACTCCCTTATATTTATTTAGTACCTTTAGTTACTTTGCAGATTTGTTTAATGATGTGAAAAATAATCAACACATAAATAAGACTTTATTTACACCTGGAGTAAATTCACGATCTACCCCCGCAGCATACAAAGGAATACAAATTAGCTGCACCTTTACCAGCTTTGATAACACTCTAATTAATCAATAATTATAATCAAAACATATCATATATATTATTCTGTAATGGGCCAATCTGAATAATGAGCACTTTAACTTTTGGAAATGTAATTATATTTTGATGCTAATACTTTTACTAGAGTAACAATTTGATTCCAGTACTTTTACTTGTAACAGAGTGTTTCTACACTCTGGTACTTATACTTTTACTTTAGTACAAGATTTTAGTACTTCTCCCACCTCTGATTATTTGTATTGTTATGTTATGACACGGTAATGTTAGGCAAAACAAGTTATTGTAAATCCTCTTCTTTCTGCTAGTCTGTTTTTAATGCAACAATAGAGGCAGGCTTAGCTGGAATATTCCAGGTATGCTACAGCAGACCATGCAGGTTGACTAAATACAAACAGCTAATGTTCCTGAAAAAGGACAATTTGTGCTATCATTAAATACCTGGACATTTTTGAAAGGCAATGCAAAAACACACATATTCAAAATAATCTATGCACAGGTATTTAGGCAGCCTGGATAAAAACAAGGTCCTGTACGCTTCTATGTTTATAAAAGCCAGAGCTTTAGTCGACCAACAGAAACATATGAAGTGTTTAATCTTCCCAAATATACGCTTTCATGCTGTTATTGTACATTTCAAAAGGTACATTCACTAACTTACCTAAACCTTAATTTTAAGATGTTGGCCCTTGATTTCTCTGAAGTAAAGACTCCTTATGAAATGTGTGCTGTGATAAATAACAGTCTGTCAGTGCAGGAATTCCTACATCTGTAAGATATTCAGATCAGCTGTTAAACACCTGAAAAGTTGTCCTCTCATTGTCATAAATCCTCTCATGTGTGCATCAGATGGTCTGTGCCAGCATAATAGCGGAAAAGGTCAGCGTCAAAAGGTTCAATGTGTGAGGGTTTCAAGCCTTTAGATGAGACGCCTCACATGCCATGCCTTTAAGCCAGATTTCTTGCACAATAAATGCATGAAATTTACACCCACATGGATTTACTTAATCACACATGTGAGGAATTAGGCGATAACTCAGATGAACTATAGCGATTAGAATACATCTGAAAATCTGAGTTAAGGCAACTGTGGTGTTTTAGAAGCTTTGTTCTGGTTAAGTTTATTATCAAAACTTTTCTTATGCCAGATTTTATCACATAGATGATATAAAAATCAAAACAAACTATAAAAATGTCCACATCCAGTTAACCTCTTATTTTCATTCACTCCTGCAGTAGAAGAAGTGTAAGCGGCTCCCCTGAGATTCTGCTTGTGTAAATCTAAATGCCTGAAGGACACCCATAAACTTGACTTTCAAGTTCTGTGTTCTTTTCCCTCTCAGCGGAGAAGGGGTTCCATGTACCTGGAGGAGGAGACCAACAAGTCAGAAGTGATCTCCTGCATCTTCTCCCTGAAGGAGGAGGTCGGAGCGTTAGCCAGAGGCCTGCGGCTCTTTGAGGTAATTCTTTTTTAAAACTGCTGACCAGGAGCCCTGATGCTTCAGGGGATGCATCTTGCTAAGTCATCCTCAAGGTTTAGGCTTACAGACAATACAACTGACACGTATATAGCTTCAGCATGAAGGAATGCAGTGTATCACTGGGGTTTGTTAAAACAATTTCCTAAGAGTTAGTTGAGAAGTCTGTAAATTAGCTTAGCGAAAAAAGGGAGAAAAGCTGCAGATATCCACCTACAATGATCTCTAAAGCTCATTGTTTAATTGTTTATCTGTACAAAAACAGGAAACTAAATTCCCAAAGTGTCAATGTTGAGTTGGTGATGAAACCTCCTCAGGTCTTTCAAGTTATAAAGTTACTGATTAACATTCAACATGACAAACATAATGCATGAATGAACTACATTACAGTTGATCAAGATCTAGTTCATGAGTAATTGGATTTGAACAGTTTTAGAGAAGAGATAGCTAGGTTGTAAATATATAATTATCTGTAGTTGTTTTAGTGCAGTTTTCATGCTTGTGGCTTTCTGTGACCCTTTGAAGAAGACAACTAAACAAACTGATCTTATCTCATGTGTTTGTGTATCAGTCGTGTGCAATCCTGACAGATGGCTCTTTGATCCATTAACCTCCCCAGGGTTACTATGGAAATTAAACAGCATTGGACTTCACAAAAATCACTTCCAGTTAAATATTATAACCGTGTTTGCCCAGACGTGTGATAGATAAACCAAACTTAATGTGTCAAATTTGGGGATTGTTCCTTTTAAACAAGTTAATACAGCAGTAATAATAATCCAATATAACTTAAAAACACTCCGATTCATTTTTGCATAATACATTTCTGATATCAGTTTTGTGCTTTAATGTCAGCATGAAAACAAATAAGCAAATATCCCTAAATGTCAATATCAGCCTGATCCAAACAGATGGACACGATGAGTCTGTGATGAAACTTTTAAGGTCTTTTATCTATTTATTTAAGTTATTGATTAACATAAAGTACCATGAACAGTCATTTATTTTGCCTGTGTACGTGAGTTGGAAGGCTCAAAGTAAACACTGATTGGCAGCGCTTTCATTGTTTAATCTTCAACATGGACATCACAACAAGTTTTTCTCTCTGACGTTTTGCAGCAAAAAAAATGAAAGCATCCAAAACAAATCCCATTCAAAAGACGTTTGAGATTAAAGAAACATGTGAGTTTGGGGGGTGGAGATGTGGGCGGGCAGACTGTTTTGAATATCCAATATGTGCCAAATGCTGCTTTCCTAACAGCAGTAAACATCAGGAACCTCTTTGAACCTATGAGCTCTCACTTTCCTGATCCTCCCCCTACTCCTGCCCCAAATATCTTCTTTTTTTTAAACAGCCTCTCTATAAAGTTGGCAAAACAACCCCCAAACCATCTTCACCCATCCCTCTCTTCCTTACAGTAATGTTACACATGTTGATCCACTAAAATCACAGCTTTGAAGAGAACGTCCTACACTTGTTTCTTCATCTTCTTCTTCTCTGACAAATTGAAAACGTCTGCTCCGCCTGTCCATGTGCTAACGTTTAGCTCAGCACTGGCATCTTACCACGGGTTTGTTTTCATCTTGTGAATGTCTAATCTCCGTATTTCAGTCAGAAAGTTGCACACCGACTGGAGCCCATGTGACACAGCAGCGCGGCGTTCATGTGACGTACAGAGCCATTGGCCGGCCGTGACCCCGCGCCTCAGTCAGGGCGACAGCAGGAGGGTTAGTGTCACCTGCCTAACATAGAGGGAGGCTCCGAGTTGCACAGAAATCTGACAAAATGACGCCTGTATCCCGCTCGCTTCAGGATTTAGCCTGGGCTTTAAGCTGGACCCCGCACACAAGTATTTCCCTTTGTGCAAAGAAACAGCAATATCAATGAACCTGATTAACTGTGTGAGACACATCATTTAAAAATAGTGGTATTTTTATTTGACATTATTTATTTATTATCCCAAAGCTTCACTCTTCCGTTCATTGTTGCTAATTGCAATACATGTACAAAACATTGCTGCATACATTACAAAAATGTATGCAGCCAATTTCACACAATTATTATCTTTAAAAAGATAAAAGGTTACTGATTATTTGACAGACTAAATGTCTAAATAAAGATTTAAAACAAATATCAATGAAGGATATAGATGTTACTTGAACTCGCTACATTAGATTTGGAAGGTGAAATAAAGTATTAAGTGTTGGCCATTCTAATGTTCTTTTAATAATATTCTTGAGTTTATGGGAAACAATTACAGTGATAAAGTTGCAATTTTTATCATTTCAATTTGACAACATTGCTATTCACCCCTCATATATGTACTCTTCATCTGCTGGCAGTGAATAGAAAACGAGTTATTTTTTCTTTCCTATGCCAGCCTGGAATCATCTCTGTACGGTAGTCCCTGGGGGATGTAGGACCACATGGGCCTTTAAAAAGCTGTAAAATGTAGAATAGGATCCAGATGGGAGCAAACAGGACACCCTCCTCTTTGCTTAGCCTATAGTAGACAGAGAACTACATACTCCCTCTCCCTCCCCAAAGTTACATAACCAAAAATACATTTTTGTTGGTTATTACTACTTATGTATGTAGTCACGCTATTCACCATGGAGCTGCAGCCTATCTGTATTGTGTACAGTATTTGGAAGAATGTCCAAAAGAGTTTGTGTTCATGCTGCATAATGAAAAAAGCCTAAATGCAAAAAGGACATGTTGAATTTTGCATTTAGAAAGTTGCAAGTCCAGTGTGTCCGGCTCAAGGTCAGTTTGCAGAAAGAGAATGATAGAGAGAGGGAGTTCAATGTAGACCATGACCTCCATGGTGGACTCACACAAATGTAGACTGGCTCAAGTACGATATAACAAGGACCGATACAGGGAATCTTTCCTGCCTAATTCTCTTTATTTTTAACCAGACTCCACTGTTTTCCATTTAATTTACCCAGGTTTATATTGTTCTCAAACTGTACCTCATTGCATTTAAATATAATGTATTTATTAGCATGTGTTTGTATTTTGTTAGTAGTAGGTTGGTCTATTAGAGTGGTTACTCTGTATATTTATATTGTCTATTTGATAGTGATGTATATATTTCTTCTTCTTAATATGTATATATTTATTGTTTGTTTATCTTCTTTTTTTATTAGAGTTTTCAACTCCTGTGCAATACCTTGTTACATGGCACTGTAAGAAAGCAATTCCAACATGGAGCAATGAAATAAATATAAACATATCCAAGCATCAGTTTTGTTACAACACAGCGCTCTCTAGTGGTAGAACAAAGTACTGCAGCCTGTTGCAGCAATCACGCATGAATC